TATTCTTCTGAGGAATTCTCTCATGAGTAACAAATCAATTACAATGCGATAGAAATTTGAAAATGTACAACAATAAAAGTGAAGAATGGTAGAACATTGAGAATCTCGCTTTTGGCCACTGTCAAAATGGGGTGTCTACAATTATAAACAATATGTGTACAACAGGCTACAAAACCCAATTAAGAGCAAATAGAATTGCCGGTACACCTGGTACAATATGGATCGCTTACGTGTTTACTTTAAATTGCCAATCGGGTTTTATGGTCCACTATTGGTTCATAGTCAGAATCAGAATTGAAATCCTTCGAAATCAGAATCATAATGATTTATTGTTAGTCTCTTTGGTTCAAACAGGAATGAGAATAAAAATTGGAATCAGTAGGAATGAGATTTCATTCCCAAAAGAAGGGCAGGGACTGGCCATTCCCTCAAATAGAGGAATGTCATTCCAAAACGAATGGAAATGGGATTTCGATTCCGTTCAACCAAACAATTGGAATTAGAATAGCCCTTCTGATTCTGATTCCGAGCCCCTATTCCTACAAACCAAACAAGGTCTTATTTTTTTAACCCTTATATTTACACTATACATATTTGCATTTACACTCTTCTCAAATTGAAACTAAAAAAATACAAATACAAATATATACAATACAAATACATATAAAATAATACATAAATATGAGATTTTACATTACATATTTATATTTGTATTCCTTCCAAACTTCCAAACTGAGCATGATACAATAAGGTCAGTTTTTCTTCATTTAACTTTACAACCACACATTTTAGAATTGGAGTTTTTTAAGTTTTTCTATAAGCCTGAAATAACTCATAGTATACAAGGCATGCATCCATCTGAAATCTGCCTATAGTGACATTAAAATATATTTAGTTGGATATGAGTCTCAACATGTAAGATTACAATATGGTGTCAATCACTAGAATTAGAAGTGACCATATTTTTATTATAACTCATTATTAGTAATAAACAACATAATAATTTCAACAATGTAGACCCGAAGTAGTAGTAATTGAATCTGATAAACTGAATTTCCCTTTTATTTAGTTGATTAACTAAATTATCTTTATATTGGGTGTTTAAAAGAATTGAATGTGGGCTTGTAGTATTAAAAGCATAAAGGCTGTCTTGATCCAACATTTCTGCTTGACTACTTGAAATTCAGACCCACCAGAATATCCAAGTGGTCAATTATCAATTTCTTTTTTTTTTTCCCCTAATTTTCTTCTGCAAGCATACTTTGATTAGACACAAACCATAAAATACAACCTAACCTCTCCTCTGATCCTCTCTTTATTCTAACCCTTGATTGCAGTGTAAGTTGGATTGTGGCTGTCAGATTAGTATATTGATTCCCTCATTGAACTGGTGCGACCACATTGGTTATTGGGTTAAACACTTAAACTTACCACAAGGTAAAGTCAGATTATGGAGCAAAACTGCTTGCTTTGGTCGGATTTAGCAAATTTTATTCGTAGAATGAGTTAGAGAGTCCCTCCCCACCACCAAATAAATAAATAAATTCTTTAAATGAAAAAACAGTCTTAATATAAACTAAGGGGTACTCGTTAATGTGTATGATTTCGCCTTTTCAAATAGCTGCTGCATCATCAAAAAGCAATACAATTTAGGAAAACAAAATTTTGCTTTTTGGCCACCACCCAAAAGTAGGTGAGAAATATCTCAACTGGGTGACTGGACAAATGAACAATGAGAAAATGGTAGGTGAGAAATAAGGCCTCTCCTGGATATGATTTTCCCACATAGGGAAGAACTCATCACTCAGGGCAAATACAATTTCTTGCTCTGAATTCAGCGTCATTGAACCAATTTCCCAAAAAGAAAACAGAAATCTCTATCTACCATCACTTGGCTCTGTGAGACAAACAACGTAACCATGGATGCTACAGACATTAACAAGCCTACAACCGCGTTTCATGCATCGCATCATTAGCCATCACAGTCTTCAAACCAGTATTAGTCTTACCAGACCGATAGCTTGAGTTTGAAATATCAAACCTTACCGGTCGGCAAGCTAGGTTTTGGAAAAGTTTTCTCTTCTTTTTCCATGTTGAGAACTACATGAAAACGACCCTACTTCATGGAGTTGATTACACTATAATAAGCCTTGAGTTTATGCTGTTGTTTGGATCAGTGTTTTAAGACTAGGACCGGAGTAAAATCGGAATGCTCTCTAGGTTCTCGTTTTACGAAAGAACTTTGGCTCCTTAGGTACGATCATTATTTAAAGCCAAAAATTTTGACAAAAATAAGAAGACATGGATTCATCATCCACTGTCAAAAGTGATTGTACATACAATACGATTATGGTTTTTGAATCGCCGTTGAGTCAGATGGTCGAATCATTTGGCCCGGGAACTGTCCAGATAATCGGTTTTGTTTTACTTCAAACCGGGTTTCTGGTAAAAAACCATTGAATCAGTCAATAACTTGTTGGCTCAGACAGTCAAATCATCAATTTATTGATCCGTTCAATGATTTTTGACCGTTTTTATATTATATTATTTTTTAATTTTTATTATCAGAACAAGCCGTCCATTCGAACAGGATGATTGAACCGTTGATCCGAAAACTAATTACCAGAACAACTCGATTTTTAAGTCAAATTTTCAAACCATGCATACAATTTAAAAGGACCGAATTTTTTTTTCCCAGTTTTACTGATTAAATGGGTGATTTGCCCGTCCGATCTGCCGAAACAGTCATTTAACCAGAACCCGGAAAGGTCACCGGTTTCCGATCGGGCCGAGTCTTAAAACATTGGTTTTGATGAAAAACAACGAAATCAACACACCATGAAAAATAAAGTGGTATTTGGTGAAAATGGGGTCTAATTCATCTACCCATGGACATTAGTCATTTGGTAGTTAGTCTCTAATTCATCTACCCCTGGATTTTAGTTAATTACATATGAAGGTATGGATTTAAGGACCTCTTTAATCTTTCCTCTCTCTTTTTTTTTTAATTATTTTTCTTTTTGGAGAAGGAACACCTTGCTTTTTGGACATATCCTTGATACAGAGATATGATCTTGACTACCCTTTGCTTGTAGATTCGTAACACGAAAAATCTTTATAAATAAAAAAATATTGTAATTTTGTGTAAGGGTGACGGCACTCTGCACGTAAGACAGGTTTGAAAACCATAGGAATATCAGATTGGTAATATTTATTTACTCCAAAGAAGGAATAAAATAAAAATAAATAATAAAAAAAACTCTTTCACTATAGTATATCCATACGAAGGCATAATAGTAAAAGACAATGAGGCCCAGTTAAGTACATCTTTGGCCCACAAAACCCTGGTGGGGCACCCATTCAACTGTGGGCCTCAATCTTCTGACCACTTGTACAAGTCCTTCAGTAATCAGTCTTAGTCTGAAACAAAAACAAGCTTGGAATTCTGTTGGTACAGACTTCTGTCGCACCGTGTAGTATGTACAAGCTATAACATTATGTGCCGAATAACCCTATTTCTGCCCTGAGTAGAGAACTAGAGATGATGGTGGCCGATGTAAACCGTTCATTGAATGAGGCCCCATTTCATCTCCAATCCCCAACCAATCTGTCCTATACCCGGCCTTGGAAAGATATATATCACTGATGCAATCATAGGGATCAGCAGTTCTAATCCAACGGTTCTATCTTAGTGGGCCAACCCCTACATATTTTAATTTAATGGCACGATGGATATTAAGTACGTAATATGGGCTTAAACTTTTTGAGCCCATTATGGTTCACGGATGCGGGTACCTTGTTTAAACTTTTCAAAGACGAACGTTGAGCGGATATACCAATCGCAGACTATGTGGAAGAGTGGGAAGCTGTAGTGACGTCTACACTAGAGAATGATGACCTTCCCAAAGAAAGACATCTGGAGAAGACAATCGATACACGTAAGCAGAAACTGGGGTGTTGTCAGACATGAAAAGCTCGACGCGGAGGCGGGCGTCCACGTCGGATTACGCGTTGGGTATTGCGCCACGCCATCCCAGTTATTATCGTTGTTGCTGCTACGTTGGCTTTGGAAGAAACGCTGATAGATAATTTGACCAAGTAATAAGGTTTGACTCGATTGAACCGAACACCTAAAAAAACACCTAACAAGTTCTACTCGCCTTTTTTAAGATAGACTAAGAGCGCGTTTGGCAAGTTTTTTTTGATAGTCAAAAGATATATTAAACTTTTGCATGAAGAGCTAAATATCTAAAGTTAATTTATCTATTACAGGTTTTTTTGTAAATCTTTTCGTATATTTTTGTATAAAATAATATGAAAAAACTATATTTAGAGCTTCCCAAAATCAATTCAAAATGAATTTATTGTGTATTTTTGACACACTGACTTTTGGTGTATAAATTTATCAAGAATCAAACTGAAAAAGACCATAGCATAATCTGCCCGATCACACGAAAAAATATGCCAAACGGGGCCTGTAATTCTTTGCCAAATTACTAAATTGCCGCTCAGAAATCCAAATCTCACTCCCAATAATTGTTTTATTAAATTTTCACTTAAAAAACTGCTATATAATTATATGCAGACTACCATTAAAAAAATATATAACAATAAATTAATGGGCCTCGTAGTTGATTCAGAAACCACAATGCACCTTCCAGTTACAGCCTTTACAGGCTATCCACATCACAATGACTGTGAAATAGAAGAAGAGTTGGGCCCACCAGCCCATTCACCGTAACAATTACTCTGGCCTAGTGGCCTGACCAGTGACCAGAACCAGAACACTATAATTATTGAGGGGTTGATTAATTAAAAAAAAAAAAAAAACTAATCACGATATGTCAGATCTGGATGACGGGGGGTCAGGTCAATTTTGTAATTTGAGCAGATGCGAGGAAATGACAAGGGCCTTTTAGTAACTTTCCGGAATAATTGGTTTTGTTGGAGTAGTACTTTTCACTTTATTGCAAAGAGAAAAGAAAGCTGTTAGCCTGTTACGATTCGAATCATCTGATTTCTGAGAAGGGGAGAGAGGTTTGGTTAATCGTTAGGTGTGTGATCTGATCTCTGATCTCCCTTCTTTTCTCTATTAATAGAAAAATTAAAACCACTGCAGAGTCTACAGAGTACACACACAAAAAAGAAAAGAATACTAGTAGTATTCAGTTTTAGTAAAGAGAGGCTCAACCTTTTTTCCTGGGCTAGCTAGCTGGTTCGAGCGGGACTAACGAAGGTCAACGCTGGTTAAAGAATCGGCGCCGGTCTCGCTTCCCTGTCAGCACCAACCACCGATCAAATCCTGTTCTTCTCTCGCTCCGCCGCTTCTCCAACCATCCGACCAGCAGGCAGCAGCTCGCAAGTCGCACCACGGCAGATTTTACATCTCCGGCAACAGTAGAAAGTAGAAAGAGTGGGAACAAAGCGGTTGGGAATAGTTTTGTCATTAATGTCAGCGCTTAAATGAGATGAGGCCATTCTCCGTCTTAATTCTTATCCTGGGAGCAGGAAAAGCGGTTGCGCTAGAGAGCCAAGAGCGATAGATAAACCAGTTCAATCCTCCTCTTCAGTTGTTATTATATATTGTTATTACCATTTTGAGGTTGCTATTATTTGTTTTATGGTTGATACTCTTTCTTTCTCTTTCGTCAACCAAACAAAGAAAGAGAGAGCGAGAGAGACAGATAGATTAGGTAGGGTGACGGGCATAATTCGAGAAATGAAAAGAGAGAATCAAAGATAGAGGATTGAGTTTCCTCTAATTCATTATGTGTATTCTGGATCGGCGTTTAATGAGGAGTGACAAATTCGGCATCAACTCTCGTGCTTTAAGGTAAGAAAGATTTTAGTGGGGATACAGATATAGATAAACAACTGCATTCCTGGTTAGCAAGAGTCCCCAAATCCCTAAAACCTTACACAGATTCACTGGTACATGTACTTGTAGCTTGTAATGGGACGCACAAGGAAGAGATAAAGATGAAGAACACAGAGATGCAGAATTGTTATTCACCATCATCATCGTTGTTGGCAATCTCTTGATCATATGTAAAAATGGCGGATCAGCGAAGTATACTAGAGTTTGCTATCCTTTTCTTACTATTTCAGTCAGCATTCGGGCAGCAGGTGCCGTTGAGTTCCGGCACCGAGCTGATTGCCCTATATAACCTACGCTCGTCATTAGGGTTGAGGAGCAAGGACTGGCCGAGGAAAGTCGACCCGTGCTCACAGTGGGCAGGTGTTCAATGCCAGAACGGCCGGGTCGTTGGTATCAATATCTCGGGGTTTAAACGAACCCGCCTTGGTCGTCAGAATCCCCAGTTCTCCGTCGATGCCCTCGCCAACTTAACCCTCTTGGCCACTTTTAATGCCTCCGGTTTCTTACTTCCCGGCTCCATTCCCGACTGGTTCGGGCAACGTCTCGGAGCACTCCAAGTGCTTGATCTCCGGTCTTGTTCCGTTATTGGCTCTATTCCTTCGTCACTGGGAAATTTAACCACCCTCAGTTCTCTCTATCTGTCCGATAATAGGCTTGCCGGCATTATACCCACAACCCTAGTTCAGTTATCGCGCCTTTCGGTTCTTGAGCTCTCGCAAAATTCGCTCACTGGACCCATCCCTTCGTCGTTCTCCTCTCTCGTCAATCTTACCTTCCTTGACCTTTCTTCAAATTTCCTGTCTGGGCCAATTCCCCCCGCCCTTGGCACCCTCTCCAACCTTCAAATTTTGAATCTTTCCAGCAATAGCCTTTCTTCTCCTATTCCCGTCCAGCTCGGCGACCTTTCTCAACTGGTTGACCTTGATCTGAGCTCGAATTCTCTGTCTGGGTCGTTTCCATCGGATTTGAAAGGACTGAAGAGACTGAAGAAAGTGGTGGTTGGGAACAATTTTCTAGTAGGCACGTTGCCGGAAAATTTATTCTCCAGTCTAACTCAGCTGCAATATTTAGCCCTGAATGGCAACAATTTCTCTGGTTCTCTTCCTGATTTTTTGTGGTCAAGGCCAGAATTGCGTTTCCTCGATATCTCCAATAATAACTTCACGGGTATTATTCCCAGCCTCAGTTCAAATGCTAATGCAACAACCGCAGTGTTCAATATTTCGCAGAATCAGTTCTATGGAACTCTGACTTCTCTTATCGGGAGATTCAGTTCTATTGACTTGTCCTCTAATTATTTCCAAGGCCAAGTTCCAGCTACTCTGCGTAATGTTTCTCTTCGTGACAATTGCCTTCAAAATGTAGAGAAGCAGAGGAGTTTGGAGGACTGTCGATCATTCTATGCAAGAAGGGGCTTGAGTTTTGATAACTTTGGGGTCCCAAATCTAGCCCAACCTCCTCTGTCAGGACAATCGCAGAAGAGCAACAAACAGTTGAAATACATATTGGCGGGAGTGTTTGGTGGACTTGGTTTTATTGTGCTCTTGGTGTTTGTGATAATCATGATCCTACGAACATGTCAGAGGACTGTTGTGGCTCAAAGAGGGATTGGTGTAGGGCCTGTTCCTGCGGGAGGAAGCACACCACCTGCTGGGGTCTCTATTAACTTTTCAAATCTAGGGGAAAAATTTACATATGAGCAACTGCTCCGGGCCACAGGTGATTTTAGTGATTCAAACATGATCAAACATGGTCACTCAGGCAATCTCTTCCGTGGTATGCTAGAAGGTGGAATTCCTATAGTCATCAAGAGGATTGATGTGCGCTCACTCAAAAAGGATTCTTACATGGTTGAGTTGGATTTGTTTAGTAGGGTTTCACATACCAGGTTGGTCCCCCTCTTGGGGCATTGCTTGGAGCATGAGAATGAGAAGCTTCTGGTTTACAAGTATATGCCAAATGGGGACTTGTCCAGTTCTCTGTTCAGGAAAACCAATTCTGAAGATGACAGCTTACAATCTTTGGATTGGATAACAAGACTGAAAATTGCAACCGGAGCTGCAGAGGGTCTATCTTATCTGCATCACGAATGCACTCCACCTATTGTTCACAGGTATTTCAGAACTTGTTTTTCAATTCTTTTGTCATCCTTGCCTCTTTTTCTACCCTTATGATTCTCTATCTTCTGCCTTGGTGAGTCGGTGTATGTTACTATGCAATGGAAACCTTTTGCACTTGAGAGTGGCATTGTTTGTCTTTACAGAAAAAAGCAAAGGAATTGAAAATGGTTTTATTTTTATGCTGTTACTGTGTATCAAGTAAACTATGGTATGGCTTGCTTCTGTAGGCTATGTTTGGTTTGAAAGAAAAAGTAGGGAAAGGTAGGGAAACCTTCACAAACTTTATATATGTTTCCCTTCCTTTTCTTTCAAACCAAACACAGCTGTAAAGATACTTTAAGCATTCTAATGTTCTTAATTTCATGGTATCACAGGTGATTGTTTGTATCTTATAAATTGGGTTTTTGTTCTTTCTATGTGTGAAGGATCACAAGGGGAAGACCTTCTTGTTATCCTCAGGATGGTCATTGACTATGTACACAGTTCTAAAGCTGTATTTTATTCTCACCATTGTCTGAACTTTGTGCATGTCTTGAGGATTATTTTGTTGATTTGTTGTAGCACAAATTTGAGCTAGTTTTAATTATTCTAATTGAATGTGAGTATGCAACATTTTATAACAGTGATATGAAATCTCATTATTTTTATCTGAACTTTTCTTGTCCCTTAGAGGCGAATGAAAATTTGAGAAAAGAAGAATATTTGGAGGTCATAAGGGTCAGGATGGAACATATTATACACACATAAAAGGAAATGGTTTCTTAATTTGGTGAGTTAGGCTTCTTCTGTATAGAATATAACCCATTAATGCCACATTGAAGGGATGCTTTAGCTGGTCTGGATAGAATAGAAGAGCTGATACAAGCATTAAGTATCATAGCAAAAAAAAAAAAGCAGTAGTTTAATAGTTTTTGGTTTTATGGGAGACACTGCTAATACTAGTACATCTGAGCATTCTTAAATGACTAGTTGTAAACAGCCTTGGGGCTATAGAACAAAGGATCCACTAGATGGGGCCATGGGGGGCACTCCAGATTGGTTTCAAGTTCATCCTTCTTAAGTCCACATTAGCCCTATATTCCTCCATACTTTGGGGCTCTCATCACATAGTATTGACTGTTGATAAGTCTCAGGCTGACAAGTGTGAGAACACCCAATTTGAGTATGAGAAGAATGGCCAGTTTGTTCAAGGAAATGCTGAAGGGGTTAGGTCTGAATCTAATCCACCTCTCCATAGACCCTGGATAGCTTGGAACCAGCATTAGATGACAACCCCTTTTAGTTTATTTTTAATAGTCAGCCTTTTTTTTAGTTTTCACATAGTTTTTAAAGAAAGGAATTGATGATGTCAAGCATGAATTTGCAGATCGAGTATGAACTTCCATGCCCTTATGGTGATTATTGGAAATTTAAGCTAAAGTACATGTATGATCTTAAGAACAGGAATATAAAAGCTTGCAAACATTTCCGAAGCCAAAATTAGCAGTGAAAATTCTTGGAGGGTCAAAGTTAAGCATATGTAAGATCACTTTAACAAGAATTCAATTACATGCATGTATATCTAAGCTAAGCTAGGTCAGAAACTTGGATAAGAATAAAAATTTGACAGTTGCAGCCGAAGCTGGATGTTAGTACTCTTGAACAAGCTATGTTGAAGAGAAAAGGAATTTATTTAGAATTATGAGAATGCAATCCATGTTATACTAGTTATACTCTTAAAACTGAAGAATGTAATAGTTAGTTACTCTGGAATCGAAACCATTTCTAAGAATCCTAGAAGAGTTACAAAAGTTGAACTTGAACAGTAAACAAAAGAATCTTGTGTATAAAACCCAAAATTTATGAGGTAAATAGTTTGGGTAAATCATAGTTATGTGGAGCATAACATGTAGAATGGAGGTAATAGATTTTTTAAGTTTTCTTTTTGCTTAATAAAATTTTATAACCAAATCAGTTCCTACTATGTGGAGGGATAATATAACCAACCCAAACCAATTATTAGATAGATCAAACACCTTCCCAATCCCACTGTCCTATTGTCCACTATAACCCGACTTATAGTGATGTTTTCCTGTAGTATTAAAATTGGCTGTTCAAGTTTTGAATTGTTTTTTAACTGCCTGCATAAAAGGAGTTGGTTAGACACATGGATAGGAATTTTGATTTGAAAGTGTAAAACTTCTCCCATAAATATAGGTTGAAGAGATGAACAATAGGATCCTTTTGGACCCCCAAACAATATTGACATGTCTAAGAATCCTAGATCATCTAGATGATTGGACTAGCAGGTATCACCTGTAGTGAACATTTGAGAGTCTAAACTATTGAAAAGATGAGACATTGAGACCCCCACTTGAACATTGCTCAGTAATTCTTTTCAAGACGTTTCTTAATTCTGGTATGAGGTTAATTTATTTTTATTTATTTAGGGTCTGTTTGGTTCATGCGAATAACCTGTATACCTGTATAACCTTTCAAATTACCACTGCACATACATCTGCACTTGCATGAAAGGAGGTGCTCCCTCCATCTGGATGTTAGGCATTCCTCCACCCTACCTTTACAGTCCAAAATACTTGTGAAAGGACACCAGGGATATCCATGTGGATCTTGTAGGAAGTTTATATGAATTTGAATTTGTTTTGTTGATATCCCAAGTCTGGGTTTATGACCTGTATCCACTACTAACAGACTTGTATAAAATAATGGTGAGAAGTGTGTGCATTATCTTGCCTTGGAAAAATATTCCGGCTAGTTGATGCAAGTGCTAAGTTTTTTTCCCCTTTTTGGTGGTTGTAGAGATGTCCAAGCAAGCAGTATTCTTCTTGATGATAAATTTGAGGTGCGGCTTGGAAGCTTGAGTGAGGCTTGTAGTCAAGAAGGGGATACTCACCAAAATGTGATCACCCGGCTGCTTCGGTTGCCTCAGTAAGTACTCTATTAATAGTATTATTCGGTAAATCATTTACAGTTTATATTAAGCTCTTCTCTTTGACATTTCAATTAAGTTTGATTAGAGTTAGCTTTGACTACTTGCATTTGTTCGGATCCTTGGTATGAGGACTTATGGTTTTCAATTGTTCTGTCTATCTATAATCTGGTTTTGGGTTTTGATGAGTTTCCCTTTAACTAACTCCTAATACAGTGTTGTGGCTTTGCTACACAAGTACGGTTTGTGTCATATACTACACTCCATATCCAGAAAACAGCATTTCTTGTCCTTGGAACTTGGCTCCATGTCTCTCAACTCTGGATTCCATAAAATCCTATCGTAAACAGTTTGATAATGTAAAGTTTATATTTACCAAAAAATGAATAAATAAATAAATGAAGTTTACTTTTACCAGACGTGCAATAGAGCAGTGCATATCTCTGAACAGTGTATAGTTAGTATTTTATGCAGAACAAAAAAGAAACAAATTAAGCAATTATCTACTTCATCATTCTCTATATATCTAGGCCTAAAACTACATATTCCATCCTTTTAAGACACTTCAATGAATAGCCCATGGAAGTGAGGACTTAATTTCTGTCACACCAATAGAAAGCCACATTCTGCAGCTGCTGCTCCTAAGTTCTGCAGAAGTGAAACCTAAGCCATCCCAAATTTTCAGAACATTGACTTGGAGTGACTTACACAACCATGTTGAAGTTCTTCCATTGGATGAGAAATGCCACTATGATTTCACAAGTTGTTGGACACACTGCCAACCCCCTCCCCCCTCTTGTAATGACAAAAAGTCAACGGGCCAAACATTTTTATGGATAAAATCACCAGTATCATACACCCAAATGCTTTGGCTGATTTGGTTCTATGAAATGGTACTTCAGACCAGTGTTTTAAAAACTGACCTGGAGGCTGAACTGTTTTTGCCTTTGAGTCAAACAGGTCAGACCATGACATAACAATATATAATATGTGTGTATATGCAATACTTTATGTTTAGTTTATTTTTTATTTCAGTTTTTTATTTTTTACTTAAAAAAGTACTAAAAATTGTGATGTGAGGCCAAAAGGGGGGGTTGGCAAAAATAGTGGGGCAAGGCATCTTTGGTGGCCTTGGGATGCATAAATCTTGAAAAGTTGCCCCAAAATGATATAAAGATCACCCCAATTGGATAACCTGTGACCTAGAAGTTCTTAGTATGTAGTATGTAGCCCATGACCTTGTGGCCAGGTGGAGCAGGTCATCGGTTCAACCACTCAGATTGGATGGTCTTTGACCAAGTCAATGGTTTTTTGTCAAAATCCAGGGGTAAATTGGACCCAGAATCATGGCCAGGTGATGGTTTGAACATTTTGACCATCCGGGTCAATGGCGGGATGAAAACACTGCTTCAGGCTAATTATGGATTATGTTCTAAAGAAGTTTCAATTGCTTAGAAAATTATATCTTCTTGCTAATGTGGTGCTTACTGCTTTATATTTATAATGTTTTCTCTGACTGTGTTTTTCTATTCTTCATATGCAGGACATCTGAACAGAGCCCTTCAGGTATGTACAATTTAATTGCCTCTAAAAAATGCTCTGTGAATGTTTCATTTATTGTCTGGATATCTTTTACCATATCCAACACAAGAATCTATATGGTGAAGTCCATAAATCTTGACAAATTGTGGACTCTGGCCAATAGAAATGTAATTGGTTGAACATTTCCAAGATCTTCTAGAGTCTGGATGGGTACCTTAGCTGATTTAGTTACCTTGTGTACAACTATTGTAGGGATGCAAATGGATCAGACTGGATTCGAATCAGGGTATATCCGAATCCAATCCAATAACACATATCCTAGATCTGATACGATCTGATTTAATTTCTGAAAATTTAAATAAATTATTAAAAGAAAAAAAGCATAACAAATTAACAGTTTATATAAACAAAGACAAAAAATACAAGTATTTTTCAACTATTTTCATCATATACATTAATATATATATACATGTTTTTTAATTACAAAAAAATGCAATATAAACATATATATATATAGGTCAGACTCGGATTCTTTTGGATCAGATAAGGGTGATCCGAATTCGATCTGATTTTCAATTGGATCCCATTATTCGATCCAATCTGAAAATCTAATGGGGGTATCTGAATCCAACAAAAAAATAGGATTCAGGTTTGGATCTTGACCCGGTCCATTTGCACCCCTAAACGATTGGGATCTATACTCATTTTAATATCAACTGGGCTCTGGGCAGCAAATTTAGGGGGAGTGAGGATCTTGCAAATTTTTTAGTCCCATTTGCACCGGGTACTCTCCCTTGTAGTTGTACTTGCATCTACTAAAACTGGTGCCTAATCCCCTTTCTTTTGATTGGAAATGGTCAGGCTCACCGTTGGCAAGCTGTTCTTATGATGTCTACTGCTTTGGGAAGGTCTTACTTGAACTAGTAACGGGTAAGCTGGGCATCAGCGCTTCTGACGATGCCACTACAAAAGAGTGGTTAGATCAAACACTACATTACATCAGTATTTATGAGAAAGAACTCGTGACAAAGATTGTAGATCCATCTCTCATAGTAGATGAAGACCTGTTGGAGGAAGTCTGGGCTATGGCAATTGTTGCTAAGTCATGCTTGAATCCCAGGGCTTCCAAACGCCCACTCATGAGATACATCCTTAAAGCATTAGAGAACCCCTTGAAAGTAGTGAGAGATGAGAACTCCAGTTCAGCACGGTTGAGAACGACTTCATCCAGGGGATCATGGAATGCAGCTCTTTTTGGCAGTTGGCGTCACAGTTCATCAGATATTGCAGCCATTCCAAGCAGCAACAGCAAGGAAGGGGGCAGTGGTTTAAAACGGTCGGGAACAGCAGGTTCTCAGGGAAGCGGGCAAGGTAATGGGATTGACCGCTCATCTTCTCTCAAGAGGCAGTCGAAGGAGATCTTCCCTGAACCGGCTGCTGTGCATGACATAGAGAGACAAGACGAAGACTAATACAGATGGGTTTGTGATTCTTTGTTAATAATACTGCGGGCTTCCATTTGAGTCGAGTGCCTGCTCGTTGTATCCCCCGCAATTTTATGAGTTCAAACCGAGGGGGATCCGGATCTATTCTTTCGCGCTGCTGCAATAGCCGTAATGCTCCTCTGTGACTTTGTGAGAGTGCTTACCATATTCACGAGCATTGCTGGTATGGCGCAAGCAAAATGTTAGGTGTACAATTATGGGTTGTATGTGTGAGAAAGAGAGAGAAAGAGAGATGCCAGTCTGCCGGTGCCAGATTTGAATTTGTTTGTAAGGCTTGTTTTCTTGTTCAAAGCAAGCATCAATTTTTTTTGGCAATTGGTTCTGTTTCCCTTTGAAATGTATATTGCAACGGTTGGGGCTTTTTCTCGATTAAAGGTTTTCTTTTTTATTGTTTTCATTTTCAATGAGAATCAAGGTAGCCAGGTATTCTAAATCTAATCAATGTTTTTTTAACGGGAAAATCTATGATGCGGAAAAGATATGGTATGGGAAAAGTTTTGACCAATCAAAACCCACCCATGAATTTTGATAAATAACACCTGATTGGCTACCATGTTTATGATTTCAGTTCATTGGGTAGAAGTTTTTCAGATATCATATCTTTTCCATATCATAGTTGAATCCTCTTCTAACTTATTACTT